AGAATGAATGAAAGATAAATGATAGAAGAACTACAATCAATAACTACCAAGTAATTCAAGGTACGTGGACTCTTCCCTCTATTGAATATTCTTAGTCAAGCTTAAACCACACTAAACAATTGTACACCTCAATCGTTTCCTACTCACTCTATTTATAACAAATCTCCCTAACAACTTTCCTACTAATTACTAATATACCTTTAATATCCTAATAATACTCCTAATTATATCCTAATAGTATTCCTATCATATTCGTGATGTGGACAGAGAGGTAAGAGAGAGACCTATGCAGGAAGTTAGCTAGAAGAAGGTAAAATGTCAATGTGTAAATGGGAGGGTAGGGGTGGTAACTTTTTGGCCATCAAGACCAGGGCAATGAGAGTCCAAAGAGTCTCTCAAAGACCTATTCAATAGCTTTGTAACTTATTGAGCTTAGTAAAAGTTTTAACTTAGAGCTCTTCAGCTCTATTGGGATAAAACTTTGAAATATTTCTTATGTGGTAGTAGTTAGGAGAAGTTACATCTCCATTCCTTTTTTAGAGGAGAATTCAAACAAGAAATTTGTATATAAAGCAAGAAAGATCAGAAATCTACATCCTCATCATGCTCCATCAGAAATCCTGGCTTCAGTTCTATCTTCTTCCCACCATCATCCTGTAGAAAGATGAAATATTATACCCTATAAATTCACATCCAATCATCTTGACCAATGACAGTGAACTTTAAGTTTATGTGATAAAAGAAACACAGATTATCATGCTAGGCAATCAACATGTGCTAAAAGATTACATATATGAGGACTGAGGAGTGATTTTGCAATACATATAAATGAACACACACAGATATATATGAAGAGCAGGAGAGTTAGAACGTGGCGAAATTCTTTATAAGCCTCACAAAGTCCTTTTTTATTAATCCAAGATCAAAATTTATCGAATTCATTAGTGTATCAGACCTTTTCAATATCATTCTGAAGTTACAGATAGAAAAAACTACCATCAGGAAAATGAGAAAAATTATATTATGTATTGAGAGATCTTTATTTTGTCACAGACAAATAAGAAGAGAAAATGAGTGCCTGAAATTCAAATAACACAGGAGCTAGCTGTTGTAACTCAAAAATGCTAATAACATGAAGGATTATTCATTTTCTCTCCATTCCCTTTCTACCTAATTAATTAGGCCACATCAAAAAATCACCTCGACAACAAAGTAAAAAAAATGTTTGAGGATCCTCCTAGAACTGAAAATGACCAAAAGTTCTTTGAACTAGAAGTTGCAGAATTTTCAAAGTTCATGGAAATTAATTTTCATCATAAATACCGGTCCACCGAGGTATTGATATCCAGCAAGTTCAAGTTCTTTCAAGATGCCATCCTCACCAATCACATAAACCTGAAATCGCAAAGCCATCAGTCCAGGCTAAAATTTATCCTTGTGATGATTAAAACTTTTACTCACTTGGAGAATCATAATCACCTTGAAAACTTTGAGAAATAAGAAGATTATGCACATTATCACAAATAGCTAAAGCAAGCAAGTACCTTTTTCTCTTTTGGAAAATTGATGGACTTCAAATATGCGGCGGCAGCAAAAGATGATGCAAAGATTTCTTCCTAAAACATTGGAATTTAGTTAGCGTTGCAATTTCATACAAAACTCAAGAACTTTGAGAAAACTGACTGACCTCAGTGACATTAAGACCAAGTGTCTCAAACTTTTTACCATACTGCTTCCTGGACTTTGTTGAATTGTTGGTGACGAAAACTAATCGTTTTCCCTGAAATTAAACAGGAAGAGAAGGAAAGGAAAATGACTGAAGGCAAAACTATCCATTGACTGAAGGAGACTATAGAATTTTGTATCATTTTCACTCATGTAAATTCTGTTAATTTGTCCTCATCACCCACTGCTCTCAAGGCCATAAGTTTCCAAAAAGTGAATTCTCTGTTTTAGAACATTACTATTTTTATACCTTTGACCGAAGCATATCAAGGGTCTCTGGAACTCCATCTATTAGTTTGTCCCCTTTCCAAATAACCCCTGCAATTAAATCAATAGAAAGCTTAAAACATTGACTACAAAAGAATAAAGGAAAAACGTTCTCCTACATTCCCTACCCAACTAGAAAAGAGGTAAATACTCGTCAAGAAAATTTTCCAAATTTGACCTGTTTCACATTAGTTATGGGAGTGCAATATTTCACTTAAAAAAAGAGTTCACATGGGGCTATGAGATTTTTATTCTTTTCGGGATGTGAAAAACACCATTGGAAGTAGAAGTAGCTTAATTGCAGAACAACACTTTCCTTCAATGTAATCTCAAAATAATTTTAATTAAAAAAGCTGTTTTATAGCCTCTCCTCACAAGAACTTCTTTCTATAAAGGAAGCCTAGAAAACTGAAACAAATTCATGAAACTCGGGAATGGGCTGCCTTGTCGCATCTTCTTCCCATGATCGGACCTTTGCTTATGGCCCTCCACTCTTCTGGGCAGTTCACAGTAAAGTCCCTTTCCTCCAACCTTATCAATGGCGGGATGGATGCAATCTCCCATCTTCATCATGATAACAAGGAAAGTAAAATTCTACCATTGGGATCTAAGTAATGGTAGTGTTAATACTCCCAACAATATGCAAAAGAGGAATCCTAAGGCGAATCTCCCACCATCAAGATGCATCATGCGCAAACAAGAGTAGGATCATGCCTTCGTCCACTGTCAATTTGCTAATTATTTTTGGAACTACATGAAGTCTTCCTTCAGGTGGCAACCGATGCCCCAAAATCCGTACTGGGATTTTTGGAATCATACCTTAATGGCATCCCATTCAACAAGGCAAAATATGACTTTATTGGAATCTTGGGATGGAAACAAACCATAAAACTTTTGATGGCAAGGAAACCCATACAGAAAAGTCCATAAACAATATTTTTTTGTAGCTCTCAGTCTCACATGGTCTAAATAGCTATAGTTTAATTAAACTTTACACCAGTTGGAAGGGTTTTTTATGACATTCCGTGATCTGGGGCTTGACCATCCTCCCCCACCTACCTTTTGTAATTTCATATTATCTCTGAAAGGTTTAATGTTTTCTATTAAAAAAAATAAAAAGCTGTTTACAAATTATGCACTGCACCCATGAACTCTACAAAAAGACTAGATCACCAAGTCCTTGAAGACCTCTCGGCTCAAGTAAACACTAATTTCTCCCATAACCCGAAATTTCAGCCAGAAAACCAATGACCCATTGACAGAAATCAAACGCTTTCCATGTTTTGGATGAGAAAAAATCAAGGGAAAATGGGAGAAGAACAGACCATCGCAATCGAAAATGAAGGTCTCAACAGAGTCAATAAGCTCATCGGCGTTCTTGAGTGGCTGCGCCGAAGCACGAACAGTGAAGCTCTCCATTCCAGACCTGCTAAATCTCCTCTTGCCGCTACTATTCCATCCAAAACTCACAGACCCAGAAGAAGAACAATCGGATAGAGTGCGGGAAAAGTGGCCGAATCCCAAGAATCTGGGGACACTGTGGTTAAAATTGGCGAAGGATTTGGATGCATTTGAGGAAGAAGCAACAATGAGTGAATGAGAAGCCGCAGTGGCTGTTCTGCACAGCATCTCTGCAGCTGCTTTTTAGTGCTTTTGGTGCTTCCTTGGTTTCTGTGTTGGCAGTTTGAGGCCGTTAAAAGCGCTTCCAGAATGCTGTGACGTGGGACGAGTGGCGCTCCTTTGTTCGTTTGGGATATAAGGAATTGAAAATTCTCCCTTTCTTTCTTTCTTTCTTCGTTTACGCCCAAGGACCATACGTGGATGACACCGTTGTCTAAATTCAAGATCTTTAATTTCTCTGGATCGGGAGGATTCTAACTCATGATCTTCTAATCATTTATATAATTTACTTTTATATATCGATATAAACTTTATTAAGACAACCGTATTTATGAAATGAAATTCATAATGTCAATGTAATGAGTAAATACCACGAGAATATTAAAAAATTTTCCTGACAAGTCTAGAATTATTTGTCTTCATTTCTTGTAAGTCAACTTTTCTTATGCAGAAGATATCATATGCATGATAGTATTTCACCACATTACGTGATATGGGCTAACTATTGTCAACAATATCTTGTCGCTTTTATCACTTTCTTAGTAATTCTCTCGTCGAATAAGGATCTATTGAAACTCCTCAACAACCATTCTATTACTCGATACACCACTTATTTGATGGAGCTCCACCATAGAACATTTTTTGTTTGACAATCAGAGAATTTCATCTACGTAGGAAAATCTTGGACCCGAGTCTGATACCATTTGTTTAGATAACTAATGTCTTGTTGGAACTTTTGAATAAAATTATTTTATTAAAAAAAAAGGAATCACAACTTTTCATGAAATTATGTGTGTTTTGTAAAGGTTATATCATTTTATCAAAAGACATAACTTTACATGAAAATAGTCTATTTGAATGGTCACAAATAGTCTATGGCTCTTTCAAGTGTTGAGAAACAAAAAAACTAATGTCTAAAAATTCTCTCTTTCCTTTTTTGTACGAATATTTAAATACTAAAGTTCGTGAATCACTTGTACATGAAGTGCTGCACTCAGGTTGGTAAATTCGTCCTATCTTGGGAAACAATTGTTCGTAAAACCTTGAGCATCATAGAGGGAACAAAATTGTCCTAAGGAAACAACACTGTCGTTGGGTTCGGTTTTTAAATTTTGTGTTTCCTTAAGTTTTCTATGCATATTTCTCTAACATTCTTAAGACAATTTTACATAAGTTTTTTTTATGCATCTCTCTAACTGATTTTATTCAATTCATAGTCTTGATCTTTGCTTGTTGGAATTTTTTTCGTATGGTTCTATGGATACTAATTTTGATTCTAAATTGGCTACTATGTTCCAATTTTCTTGATGGTTTTCATAAGTTTTTCAAGGATCTATGATACTTTTTGTTTTCTTTAAGTTATTTTGTTAAGAAACTTGATTAGATATTATATTATTTTGTGTCAATGTTGAAATGGGGTATTTCGACATGTATGTATTAACCTTGTTATACCTGGTCAATTTTTTAAATAGAATTTATTTTATTTCGTAGCACATTTATAGTTAATTATCATTGGAATTAAATTGTTTGGTGGTTTTATTTATTTTTATTATGTTTAATAAATTTTACATAATTTCTTTTTTTTTTGTGATGAATTTACAAAAGTGTCATTGACGATATTGAATTTCGTACGACATGGTGGTGGAAATCAAAGGTAAAATCTTGAGTAGTCTAATGACACAAGTTCAAACGATGACAATAAAAGATATTGTTTTATCTCACAAAAGATTACATTGGTATATATTGCATGGTTCGGTATTGGATATATTTTTTACCATCTTGAATTTCCTATAATATATGAGACTTGTGGTTTCATTCTCGTGAAGGAGTGTGGATGTAATTACGTGTTGAGTAATTACTATACATAGTAATTCCATATTTTATATGGAAATAAGTTTAGCAGCATGGTTAAATGCTTGAACGGGATATATAGTTAGATATCCAAATTTGCAATTAGTACATTGTTGTCATAAATGATGTATTTAAAGTATGCATATAGTTATGATTAGTTATGATATGAACTGGTGGAAAGGTAACTTCATAAAAATATTTGAAATTGTGGGAGTGCATTGCAAAAGCGAAAAGTTCTCTTAATTAAGTCTAACAAATTGTCATTATTGTAAACTATAGTATTTCACAAACAATTGAAACATTATGCATAGTTGGCAGTCTAATAGATCTTACAAATTACTCACGATGTGAGAAAATTTAGAAGATTTGCAAATAATTTTGGAAAAGAGTGTGCTTGTTGATATAGAATCATATACCATGCATTCAATAGAAAATTCGGAAAATTCATGTAGTATAAGGGTTGTGTAACGCCCCGAGTCTCTCAGGTTAGTTAGTCTCGAATTAGGAGATTTTCATTTAATTTTAAATTAAACTTTAATTAAATTTATTTATATCGGATCTCGCGTGATTGGTTTTATCTCAGGTTGGGATGGTTTTTTTTTTCTTTTGGGCTTGTTTATTTTGGCTTTTAGTTGGGTTGGTTTGGTTTTAAAAC